GAATAGGGTAAGCTGTTATCATGAACGGAGATGAAAGGGCTTTTCCAACACGGAGATGTAGCATGGATCAAAGCATTTGTTGGATTTCAGCTTTTACAAGCGGACATCAACGCAGTAGTATTTTAGCAAGCTTACGATCGCATATATATAGGATACCATCAGGATTGTCATCGGTTTTATTTCACGTTGAAGAGGAGATACTTTTACGATGTAAATGACAGTAGAAATAAGTCCTACAAATGTTGTTGTACTTCGTATTGGTTTAATATTCATGTAGAGTATGAGACATTAAGTGAAAGTTTTCTGAGGTACATCTGCAATTGTCGGAAGGCAAAAATAAATAAACAAAATATCAAGCAACTTTCCCATCTCAACGTGGTCGTGACCAAGTGTATCAACGACACAACCTTCATCTATCTCTAGGAGCAAGCTCCCGCTCACGGCTTCACCTCCTTTAAACTTGGCGTCAGCTGGCATTACACGGTAAGCGGGTGCTGGACGCGGCTTCCACACTGCTGTGTGCGTTGCCACGTTTTCTTCACAACCACTGGGTTGCTTATTATTTGGTCTCACCACCCACGAGAATCTAGACGTCACCTCTTCTCTGCTTCTTCTCCTGTAGAGATGCTGGCTTGCGATGCTTTTGCTAAGCGCCCGCGGGACTGGGACCTTGAGAAGGATACGCGCCTCGGCGGTCATCGCGATGTTTTGGGCGATTTTTTCTACGTTCGCCGTCCCTCACAAGCTAATTTGTCTTCATCGGCGGTCCATGAAAATATTTCTGTGGCGGATACGCTCTGCATGCAGCGACCTGCGTTGCTGGCCTTGTGTAGTGGGACTCGAGATGACAGCATGCTTCCCACGTCTGCTACCACCTCTACTGCATTCATGCCGGCGTACCGGCCGATGTCCGCGGATTTTCCTGTTGTGCTCCCCGATTGACTCCGCTTGCCTCGACGCGGAGCGCGTTGTGTGCACACAAATTGGGTGTGAGCCGTCCCATCAGCCGTCCATCCATTTTTCGAAATCACATGGCACTTTTTTGGGGAGAATCGTTCACCCTCAAAGCATTTGAATTGGAAACCTTTCAACAGCGCAAACCCACAGCGGTCTTTGCTCGCACTTCGGCACCAGTTGCGGAGGACCGCCGGAAAACCTCGTGTCCCCAACTAACACGGGTCCTTTTGTGCTAGCTTCTACTGCTGTTTGTGCGTGGCCTGGTTTGCTTTTGGACTTTTTTCTGCTTGGTTGGATCCGCTTCAACCTCATGTGCACCAAGCTTTTATCACCGGGCGTATGCTATCCTGTGGGTATCTCCGCCTTTCGCATGGACCTCGACTTGCTTTTCCCGAGGTTGCACCCCGCTTTACTGCTTCTGCTGCCCTTGGTCCTGCTGCCTCTGCTGCCGATGGTTGTACTACACCTGCCGTTTCTATCCCTACTGCCCTTCCCACAATCGATCGTCAATACCCTTTCTCTGGCCCTGTCTCTGTTGAAAAAGAGGAAAACATGTCCAGCGGCAATGTTGAACTCCTGGACTACGAACCCGAGGGAGAGGACTCCACCACGCTACAGTTTTCGGAGGACGGTGCGGGAGACGAGCGCTGCCCCACACCCCGCGCGTTCACTGTCGATGATTTGCTGACAACATCGCCACGGCGGATCCGGCGGACCCGGAGGAGGCCTATAACGCAGGACGTGCCTCTCTGGAGGATGTTGCGGGGCGGCCGGTCTGTCGTCCGATTCCCCCCTTTTCGTTTCTCTTTTCTCGCTCCCCCCGGAAGACAAATTGATCCTCCTACCCCATAATGACTTTATGGCTTACCAAAGGTTGAACGAGATGTGGTGCAACGGTCTTGCCGGGAAGATAGCCGAGGCGGAGGCGCGAGAGCAGGCGAAGCGCGAGGACGCGGAGCGCGTGGCGTAGCGTGAGGCTGTTCTGGCTGCTGATGCGAGGAAGCAGGAGGGGGAGCGTGAGGCCGTCCTGGCTGCTGCTGCGAGGAAACAGGAGGAGGAGCGTGCGGCTGCTTTGGCGGCAGCCCGGAAGCAGGAGGAGGATCGTAAAGCTGAGCTGGCGGAGCGCGAGGCGCACGTCCAAGCTGCTATGGCGAAGCATGGGGCGCTCCGATCACGGCTGGACCACCTCGAGTCCGCCCCCATGGCCCGCACGCAGCGGCCTTGCCCTCGCCCTCTCCCCATCGTCGTGTTGTTGCCCCCCCCCAACTGCAATCGCAGCGTGCCTCTGTGGCGAAGGAGAACGGACGGGAGGTGGCGGCTGCTCCGGAGTTTTCGGTGACGTTGGGTCGTCCGGCTGGTGGGGAAGACGGGGCATCGACAGCGGCCGAAGCCGCGGGGTACGAGTTCCATGTTGGCGATACAGCGTTCCTGTCCCGCCCACTGGAGATGCCGGCCGAAGGCGTAACTTTTCACGATGAGGATAAACTGGAAGCTCTTTTTGCATGGGCTGGCGTCAAACAACTCGTCCGTGCTCAATTTCCCCACTCTCACACCGTTGCTTTCGGGCATATTTATTCTGCCCCCTACATCGCGAAACTTCCGCCTTCTCCTCGGCAGTCCGTGTTCCGGCTTTTGTTCGCTCTCCGTCGTGCCACCTGTTTTGACGGTCCTCAAGGAACGTCGATGGTGACCCACGATGGTGACTCCCAGCTGCCTCTTGCTCGTGCGGTCTCGACCACTGATTTCAAGCACGATCTGCAGGCCTCCCGTCCGACCTCTTCACGCCCTGCCCATGTTCCTGGAGGGGACAAAAACTACAGTAGATCGGCGGCTCTAAGAGCAGGAAGAGCCGTTGGGGTGACCAAGATTCGACGGGCAAGAGCGGGACGGACGACCACCACTGCTCCACCCAGTCTTCCCGAGGGCGCGGCACCGGAGATGGCGGGCGAGGGCAAGCCGCGGGGCCCCAGCCTACCAGGTCTTCGTCGGCGAGCCGCCACCGCCGGAGCAGGAGTTGGAGCGCAGAACGTCAACAGCGCACCAATCCTTCGTTTAGGCGTGGGCGCAGCCGGAGCGGAGACCGTCGTGGGAGAAACACGCCTTCGTCTAGGTGTAGCTGCAGCCGGAGCCAAAACCGGAGCGGGGGCAACAGCAGGGCGACCAGCACTGACAGCGGTCGCGGCGGAAAAAGGGGACGGAAGTCAGGCCACGGTAACAGGCAAGTGATGCATGATCGGGGTGGTTTTCGTCGCTCTGGGTTGTTGGGGGAAAACAAGGATGCTTCAGAAGACGGTTCCCTCTGTTCTTCACCGCTTGTTCTACGCCCGCCCGCCGATGTAGGCCAACCGACCATGTCTTCTTTGGCGTTCAAACTTGCCAAAATGCAACTTCGTGAACACTCAGCTGCTGTGAAAAGCTATGCCCCTGCCCATGCCGTTATGGATCATCCCACACCTCCCTTGCCTTTGGACGAACGTGTGGAGTCACCACGCCATGCTTCATCACACGCTTCGACTTCGGCTTCCCGTACTGAAATGCTGTTGGAACAAGTACTCACTCTCCTGCGAGCAAATCAAGTTGTTGATGCTGCTGCCGACGCGAATGTACAACATCCTGTGCCCTCCCACGCTCCTAGCGTGCCACCACCTGCCCCATCTTCTTCCCCACGAACGCATCTGACACCGCTGTAAGACCACGCATCGAGCATTTCGGGAGCTCCTGTAGGGCGCGATGTTCGTGCCGAAACCGCTGCAAGGGGCACGTCAGGGTCATCGTCATCAGCCACGATGTCGGCGGCAGTTCCGGTCGGACCTGCGGTGGCACAGTCGGCGTCGACAGCCCCAGCCCTGTTGCAACAGCCTTTGGTGTTATCGCCCCCCCCCCTCCAGCGTTGCCCCCCCCGGTGTTTGCCATCGGGATTGGGTTTTCGCCGCTTGGCAACGACTTTGTAAAACAAGCCAAGTCACATCGTGAACTCGGCAACCAGGTGACCGTTTTTTTATTCCTCTGTTTCGTTTTGCGGTAACCATAATGGTGGGCGAGTAGATCATGTTGTGCAGGGTGGACAATCCTCACTCCGCGCAAGGGGGGTGATCGCACCACGTTATCTTAAAATGGTGTGCGGAAGCNCTCGAGACACCGACCACGGATTGCAAAGGTAGCGGTTGGGACAGCTCGGGCAAAATGTTACTTGTTGTGCGCAAGTTTTAGTTTGCAATTTGGTGCCGAGATGGTGAAATGGGCTCGAGTCTGCTGGGTTATTTAGGGCGCGCAGACAGACAGACAGACAGACAGACAGACAGTCAGACAGCCATTGCGAAATTTTCACGCCCCTGGGCATGAAAGTTATTCTTTTTCTCGTGTGCACATACATCCACACACGATCCCTCTAAACAGCGTTTTTTTGCAAAACAAAAAACGTACCCCTATTCGGGCCACTCTTCTCGCAAAAAAAAACTATTACTAGAGTGGGAGGTGGAATAGTTCTTTGTGGTGGTTGCACAAAAGTACCTGCAGTAGGCTCGTGCGTCTTACCAAACGTTCCCCGCTTCCTCCGCCGTCGCTAACAGCAGTATGTGTGTCTGTCTCCCGCCCCCCTTGTCCATGTTCCCTGTCTCTGTGTAGTGGTGTCTTGCCAGTAGCAGCAGCACGGCAGTGCGTCGTGGTTTCTTGCGTGCGTGTAGTTTGTTGCCCAGAGAAAAACAAAAATGACGCCTCCCGGCCGAGAAGTCGGGGATGCGTCCGTGTGACATATATATTTGCACAAACGGTGTGCTATCTCGAGACACGGACCACGGATTGGAAAGGTTGCGATTGGGACAGCTCGGGCAAAATGTTACTTGTTGTGCGCAAGTTTTAGTTTGCAATTTGGTGCCGAGATGGTGAAATGGGCTCGAGTCTGCTGTGATATTTAGGGCGCGCAGACAGACAGACAGACAGACAGACATCAGACAGCCATTGCGAAATTTTCACGCCCCTGGGCATGAAAATCATTCATTTTCTCGTGCGCACATACTCCACACACGATCCCTCTAAACAGCTTATTTTTTGCAATGCAAAAAGCGTAACCCTATACGGGCCACTCGTTTCGCTAAAAAAAAACTATTACCAACACCCAGTTACAGCTGCAGCAGCAGCAGACCGCTCGCTACTCCTACTGTCTGTGCGTCGATACTTCTGCACTCACTGCTGTGGTGCGTGGTGCGTGAAAAGAGCGGCCCGCAGGACACAATTAGGGGGTACGCGGAAGAACAAAGAAGGGTAACCCATTATCGTATTTTCTGCCGAGCCCCCTGGTGCTCACAAAATCTGTCTCTGACTCTTTTCTATGATAGAGATGGACTCGTTGTGTCATATTAAGAAAAAAAAAAAGGGGGGTCGACTGCTGTTATCTGAAAGCAAGCGTGGTTATGTGGTGAGACAAGCACACGGAGAGCACTGGAAACCTTCTTCGAGGGCTATGTATGGCAGCTCGAGAAGAAGAGCCGCGAAGGGGATCAGGCTGGTTTCTGCAGGCACCTGAAGATGATCGACGTCGAAGGTAAGAGGTCGTTCACCTCTCAGAACATCAAGGACGAGGACGGCAAGGTCCTTCGGGACCCCACGTTTATTCGCCAACGGTGGGCACGGTGGTTCCACAAGCTTCTCAACACGAACAAGTCGCCGACCATCGACCAGCATGCGGCTGACAAGGTCAAGCGGTGGCCCACGTGCGTGCCACTCGACGACACCCCATCTCTACTTGAGGTTGAGGAAGCGGTGCGGGAAATGGCCAACAGAAAGGCCGTCGGGCCGGACGACCTACCGGCTGAGCTGATCAAGCTTTTCCTGGACGGAGATCAAGGTCTCCTCCGCG